CAATGAGTCTACATAACAAGAGGGGCCACTTCTCTCTTTGAGCCAATTAAAAAAGTGTCCTCAAAATTCGGTGGCACCCTCTTCGCAAAAGCGAGTAGAGTTATCCTACTTGAGTTTTAAAAAATCAAAGTGAAACTAGCAAGTTTTTGAATGAATTTCGGAAGAACACTTTTTTAAAATGGTTACGCTGACAAAAAACCTCTTCCGGAGGAAAGGGTGATTGTTTTCTTCGTTTAATTTGACTTTAGAATGAAAGGCGAGAGGTCATTAAAATATAAATAACCTAAAACTCCGCACTGAACGAACCCGAACTACTGATGAACAGCAGTCGATCTGCGCACGCAAGGAGGTGCTATTACTATTCTTCTTCTGGAAAAACGAAAGAGAGGTTCAAAACAGACTGCAGCGCCATCTGAAGCAAAGAGCATACTTCCTGCGGACACTTTTTTGGCTGAGTGGCCCATCTTGTTATTTACTATCTTTGACTGTAGCAAAGAGTCTACATAACTAACAATAGCAAGACTTGTGTTTTGCCCTTCTATTTAGGCGCCCATAGTGCGCACCAGTGCAGTGAAGTTAAAAAAAATAGAGAGCAAAGAGCGCCGGCCACGACAGTACACGGTCTAGACATTAATTCAATTCTGGGCTATTCCACGGAAACTGACAGGACATTTGGACTATATTTTCTTACAAGGATAACACTGTAATTCAGTATGAATTAATCTATTTCAACTTTAAAAGATCATAAAATTTGAAAAACATATTAACAACCATATTAAAAGCGGTCATTTAAAAAAAAGTACTTTAAGGGCTAGGGGGTGGGGTGGGGGTGGGGGGTGGGAGGGCACACCCCGAAAGTCCCGGTTCGGCTCAAAAGTATGGATTTCAAGTTGTATGAATGTTTAGCTCCATCAGCCTCTTTTACAACTAAACTGTTTATCGCATAATATCAAGAACCGACTACATGAACAGCCTTATTTCTTCCCATACCGAGCATGTTTGTCACCAGCATTTCCTCATAAAATCAATCTTTTATTTTTCTTTATCGCCCATTTTCTCAAAATGGGGTTTCAACCCCCCCCCCCCCCCCCCCCCCCCCTTCCGGGAGTGGTGCTACTGACTGAAGTGTATGTAGGCCATTCCCAAAGGGGGTACATTAACCATGTACAGTAGAATTGTAATTATAAATGGGCTGATTCAACAATGTCATGCTCTTAACTGTGCCAGAACTGCAACGGGAAACTGCTGCTTTTTCTTTCCTTATCCTTACTATCGTCATTTTTCTTCTAATTTTGTTTGTTTGTCACACTCTTGTGACCCACTCTTTCCGGGGTGCCTTGATAATCGAAGCAGACTTTGTGCTATTGAAGCTGGAGAGGTGAGCAGAGTAAGTCTGATTCCCTATAAGGACTTCTCTGTTGACATCCACCCCTCGGCGCTCATAAAAGTCATGACCTACTGCAGCCGCAAGCGCCGTAAAACCTCTACTAAAACAAAAACGTGTTTTTTCTATATACCTTTTAAAATAAATCCACCTTTTTTCTTTTAATCTTCATGAAATTTTCACAGAATGAAGAAAAGATGTAATTCTAAAAATGTGTATGATGAACTTTTGATATATGGAATAGCGTGGTGTTTGGAGTTTGGATTTTCACTGATTCTTGGCAAAAGGGAATATTACCTCAGGAAAAAATTCAGAAAATGTTTTCTTGTACGTTTAAGAAAAATTCATCAAACAGATCTGTAGATCTATTGTTTGCTAAGATGCATGTAAAAAACAATTTATTTCCATAATAAACAAGTGCGGTATTAATTACGAAAGACATGTCAACAAAAAACCCGAATTCATGGAAGCGAAACTTTTTTTTCTCAAATTTGATTGCGGATTTTTAGACTTCTTACTGTGCTTGTAATAGCTGTGTGAAATTTCTTAACATTTTATCCGCTAATAAGTGAGATAGCCTTCAGCTGTAGCCCCTCTCCTTATGCAAATTCTGTGACGTGTTTACAGCGGCGGTGGATGGTTCTATATGTGGGTGGGGCTGCGAAATGAGAGTAGGTAGAGTGCAAAGGTAAGATTTCCTTGGTTCAGAGGACATTCCAGATATGTTTAAGTATGTTTTATTCACACGCTTACCCGCAAACGCGCTCATATGACCTTATACAGTTGTAAAAGCCCTAAAACACTTACCAAAAAAATTAATCAGCTACTTGATTAAACACGCAAACGCACACATACTACAGAAATTGGATTAGGCCGTGGGGTCGCAGAAAGCAAGGCATTCCTAAAACGAGGGCCCATGAGCGTGTTTTGGTCTTTGGTTACTGGGTCTCTGGGGAAAATGTGTCTTGAACTTTCCCCCCATTTCCCCCCATTGTCCGGGCTTGCAGAGAACGAGCCCTCTCTAACAACAGTTTCCGTGGGCTTTCGTTTAAAAAATAATAAATTTTAAACCTTTTTTCAAGAAGTTTCGTTAAGAAAGGACCGTGAGTATGGGCTCATCCTTTTCTGAGCCCTTAACACATTAAAGATAGGCTTTTTAGGTTACTATCGTTGTAAGCGATGACTACAGTGATTGGATAAACGAGCCAGCGTGTGAGTTCACCGCATGCAACTAAAGGCGGAGGCGGAAGATTCTGAAACAGTTCTAACGGTTTCAACTGATTATCTCGTTTATTAGAAAAAAAAACTTCATTTACGGAGGGAAAGAGTTGGGAGGTGTGAGTGGGAGGGGCTCAAGTCCTTTAGCCATTCACTACGCCCCCGCCACTGCGGGTTTAGTTTCGGTAACAGACGTGACGAATGAGGTATTGTTTCAGTCCCGTCGAAACTATTTCCCAGAATAATAGGCATAAAGTACCTTTTTTTTTTTCAAATGACTGCATTTAATTAAAATGATTCTTAATATCTCTTTGAAATGTTCTGGTTATATAACGTTGAAGTAAAGTAATTGATATTGAATTACAAGGTTACCCAATAAAAAACATAAAACAAACTTGGGTTGTAAATACCTTTCACCATACTAAAGTTTTGAGTTTCAGATTTGAACATGATGTTTGGAAGCCAAAAAAATGTGTCTGATATTCATTTTAGGTAAGTCCATTGAATGGTTTTGCTATGTATGGCACATTAAAAAAAACCCAACCCATTTTCAATGCTACGCTAACAAAACAGTCGTGCAGCTGAAGAACAAACATAGGGAAGAGTGGGCAAAGTGAGGTAGGCAAACTTCATTTCTCCATTCAAAAAAATAATAATTACTACATGAGGCATGTACACACACATTCTCTCATACACATCTATCTATGCTTTACTCTATGTACGCATGTGAGAGCATAAATATATGCTCGCACACACACACACACACACAAACACACACACACAGACACACACACACACAGACACACACACACACACACACACTCACTCACTAACACTCACACAATATGTACGCACATATGAAAGTATATTCACACACTCACACGAAAAATTAACAGAGACACACCTCACATACATAAACTCAGGAACACATACGCACGTACTTAGATTTATACAGATATATGCATGTACAGTAAAACACACATGCACACACACATGCAAACACACACACACACACACACACACACACACACACACACACACACACACACACACATACACACACATGAACAAACACTCATTCGTATACAAATCCTTGAAATTACACATGAATATTAGAACTTAAAATACAGAAACTGATCGCTGAAGAAAGAACGTTTATGTTTCTACAAAGATATATTTCTCTGTCACTTGTGTGTGAGTGCACTCGAGCACGTATGTAGACGCACTTACACACGCATTAAAACACACACACACACACACGCACAAACACATATTCACACACACACACACACACACA